TTCCGCCCGCTGCGACGATGACAGCGTCAAGGGCAGATGCCCATCCGCTGTAGCCCAAGACTTCAGGCTCCAGATTGAAATCACCCAGAATAAACGGTATTCCAATAGCTTTTAGCTGGGCCCCCGGGTCACATAAAATAGTCAAGCTTCGAGGGGGAAGGCCAACGCTATGATGTAGATAGATGCTGGCCACCAACACTCCCCCAAGTATTACGCCTCCAAGATGCGACATTCCAACGCGACCCGGTACAAAACTATCAGAGTAGCCCTCCACTGTAGATAAACCAAGGTGCTTCGGGGTGGCAATCATGAGGCCTCCAGAGGTACCCCCACGGCCCGTGGGAACTGCTGGATAGAAGTGTGCTCGACGACCTTGGGCACGCAGCGCAGCTTCCTGCGCCTCTGTGTCCACGATATGAGTTTCCTGAGCGGCGAGCACATCAGCGCTCAGGGAGTGAGGGGAGGAGAGGAAAATGTCAAGCCCAGCTCGCTCTGTAACATTGCAGGTTAAAAATGTCCAGACACGAGGGACCCGCGCCCGCGCACGAAAAGGCGGGCTACCCCTCCGAATATTTGTCATGCTTGGCCTTCTCTGCACGCTCAAGGGCCTCCTCGAGCGCTGCCTGCAAAGCTGAGCGGGTGATACCGCCCTTGGCCTCAGAGTCTCCATCACCTGCTTCGGCGTCGTTAGCATTCTTGATGAGATCGTCGGTCCAATCGCCGTCGAGGTCGCTGAGGACATGCTGGCGTCGCTGTCTGAGCACGCGGGGGCGCCTGGGACAGGAACTTCAGCTGCATCACCACCAGCGCCAGCAGCCGCACTGCCAGCCGCCGCGGCCTGGGCCGCGTCAGCCTGGGCCTTCCACTGCCGCTCAGCCTCTGCTGCATCACGGGCCGCGATGAGCCTGTCGAAGTCACCCAGGACGGTGGCCTCGCAGCCCAGGGCGACCAGCTGCGAGCGTAGGCCAACAGCAGGATCATGTGGCTGAGGAGCATCAGCTGCAGGAGCCGCCACACCTCCCGACGGCTGCCCGTATGCGTCGGCCGCACGCTTGGCCGCCACCTTCTCCTTGGCCAGCAGCGCGTCGTGCTCAACCTGCAAGGACGCGACGCGCAGCACCAGCGAGGCCAACTGCGCCTTGGCTCGATCAAGTGCTGCGGCGGCCTTGGAGACCTTGGCCTTGAGCCAGTCGCGGGGAAGGGGTCGGATCTTCCAGGGGGGCCGTCCTGCAAAAAATCCGGACGTCGCACGTCTGGGTATAGTCGCACCGATGTTGCGTGACTGAGGTCACGTGCTGACCGGCAGTGGGGCACCCCGCGCAACACACCGAGGCCCAGTACGAGACGTGTCCACTGCGATGCTGACAGCAGTGCTCGTCGCTGCAGTGGGTGCTGCAACCTGCCTGTGCAGGCCGCGCGCCGCTGCGGTGCTGCGCTAAGGGGCGGTCGCAGCATTTATTCACATTCTGCACTGGACAAAAGCACTCTGCCAACGAACTTGGCAAAACACTTCTGCACATTACCAACGCGTATTGCACATCATCAGCTCCACTGCCAGGACACAGCACGCCTACTATCTCACCGACGATCGCAATCGTCAACGAACGTCTCGTATATGGGAACGTCAACGGGAAGATCAAATACTATCTAGCACACGCTACGTATATACAAACGGATCCCGTCTACCGCTACACGATGCCCTCTAGCCGACGTCAGCTCAACACATGCTCGCCAGCATGAACATCGAGATCCAGAGGCCCTTCGAGAACACTCACGTGCGCACATTCTTCCATCACCTCGTGGCCCTTGGCTCAAAACTGTTCCGCGATCAGCGCGCATGGCGACATTGTCAGAACGCCGAGTTCCTGCAACACCTCGTCCGCATCAGTCCCGGGCACCCGCTGATGGCGCCCCACCGCGGCGAGAACTACGACTCGCTGCTGGTCGGCCACTCGGAGACTCTGGCCAGCCCTTACTCGACACGTGCTTCGACGTCGGCCCCCCTCTGCTACGCCACCCGCAGCTGCACCGCCGGAGCCGAGACCGCCATCATCGAATCGTCCAGAGCGGCCCTGGCTTCTACGCCTGGAGCACCAACCCATCCTCGACCCGATGTCGGAGCAGACGCCGAAACCGCCACCGAGAGCCAAATGGAGAGGCCCCCCACGGTCCTCGATCCAGTCTGGAGACTCTGGCAAGGACTCATAAGCGACAGGCGCCCCTCCAGCACGCAGAGTACGCAGACGCCGAACCCAAGCAGCAGGTTCCAAGGAACTAAGGACCTGTTGAAACCCCAAGTGGTGGACGCGGACGAGGACGAGAAGGATCGAATGGGCGTGGGAGGAGAGGAAGAGGACGAACGCCGACGGGCTCGACGGCGAGGCGGGCGCCGAACCCGTCGAGGCCGTCACAAGGACAAGACCTGGACCAACAAGGACGAAAACCTACAGGCCTCCCAACCGTCACGATAACATTACTACTCCAGAACACGCAGAAGATTAGACACATCATGTGCACCGTGGCCGACGCAGACGCCACCGACTACCCATCCAGTTTTCGCCCACGTCGCGGAGGAGCTGGAGGGCTTCAAGGCCAAGGTCAACATGCTCAAGACCGACCAGGACAAGGAGCAGCTCCAGAAGCTAGGCCCATCGACCTCAGCCTTGGCCCTGGCGATGCTAGAAGGACTGTTCTCATGCGAGATCAGAGGCGGAACGCGAGCACCCATTGAGACGTCCCTCGCGAAGTGCAGCCCGGAGCAGCAGGAATAGAAACATTACATAGATCGGTCACATGACCCTCCTGCACGAGATACTTCGAGTTTCTTAGAAGCGTCGGGGGGCGTCACCCTCGCCGACAGCCCCACATCGACCCCCGTCGCGGGCAGCCACCGCGCGCCAAAAGCGCTCCGACCCCGGTCGCGGCTCGACGATGAGGCGAGGTTGACCCCCGTCGGGGTGGTACCCCCCAACGCTTATTAAGAAACCCAGAGTAGCCTTCATCCGCGTCAAGAAGACGCGCGACCCAGACACAGAGAAACTGATCATGGGCGCCCACGACTGGTAGCCGTAGCCTCGCAAGCACGTCATCGACGCACTTCTCACCGCCTGGGCCAGGCCCCCTGCGGGCTGGATGGAGTAGAAGATATGCCCCCCACACCGTCTTGGATGTTCGGCGCACAGACTCCAGCCTCCACTTTTAGGTCGGGCGTCCCCCCCCTACAGGCGGATGTTGGACGACAAATGGAGAAATAAGCAAAACGATCATAGAGAAACACGTCGAGTAGAATCGTTGTCCTGTAGAGTATCACGTTGGACTTAAATGTAATAGTAGAGTAAAACGATAATGCAAGATGGTGAAAGCGTATTGCAGAACACGTAATAGCAGAACATGAAATAATAAAATGTAGGCTGAACGCGTACAGCAGAAACACGAAATAGTAGAACGATAATGATTTTGTGAGCAGTTGTCCTGTAGAGGAACATGTTTGGGGTATGTTTTATGTTTCGTCGAAAATCCCCCTGTAGGGGGACACGCCCGACATGACACTTCCCCCCCCCGTTGATTTTTGTCCCCCGTTGCCGTCCCCCGAGTATCACGTTCGTTCTTCTCCTCCCCCTCCCTCCTCCTCCTCCTCCTCCTCCTCCTCCTCCTCCTCCTCCTCCTCCTCCTCCTCCTCCTCCTCCTCCTCCTCCTCCTCCTCCTCCTCCTCCTCCTCCCCCCCTGGCCCCTCGCGCCGCCCCTGGCTGCGCAGCAGAGTGCCCGCCCGCGGGGCTCCGCGGGGCCGCGAAGGTTGGACACACCGAATGCTCCCGAGAAGGCCTCGGGTCCCTCGGGCGGAGGCCTCTCCCGTGCCCGAGAGCCCGCGCCGCGTTGTGCGACGGGCCCTGCCGCATCCAGCCCCAGTGCTGCGCGAGGAGGCCTCGGGCGACGTGCCCCCAACACGCTGTGGGAAAAAAAGCACACACACACACACACACACAAAAAACAAAAACCACAGTGTGTGTGTGTGTGTGTGTTGTGTGTGTGTGTGTGTTGTGTGTGTGTTTTCTCCACAGTGTGTGTGTGTCTGTTTTCCCACAGTGTGTGTGTGTGTGTGTGTGTGTGTGTGTTTCCCCACCGTGTGCGTTTTTGTTGCGTGTTTTTGTTTCTCGGTGTCTGCTTGTTCGAGGACCGACGCCCGAGCCCCAGCACCTCCTCGTTCCGAGGACGTCTCCGGCGAGAGCTTCGCGGCCGAGAACCGGCGTCGAACAGCGGCTCCTCTGACACCCCCGTGTGTCTTTTTTTGTGAGGGTGGCTCATGCGAGGCGTCCCCCCCCCACCCACCCAGACCATGTCAGATATCCGACGCACGCGCTTGAACATCTAGGTTTGAGGGTACCTGCGGCGACAGCCTCATGGTTGAGAACCAACGTCGCTTCAACATATCCTCTAACACGCCCAGTGTGTGAGGATGTCTCAGACGACACACCCATGGCGACACCATGTTGGATATCCGACGCCCGAACTGAACATCTCCATTTTCTGCAGGCATATTGGGCGGAATCATATTGTTTTGAAAACCAACATCGCTCGCAACGTCCCCATGTTGAGAGGATGCTCAAGCGGAACTCCTCCTCACCCTGCTCGTCACCCCTCTGGTCTACAGCCAAAGGCCAGACAACACAAAGAGAACCCTGGGCCCAAGCCCTTAATTGGAAAACGCGGGGGCGGCCGACGGGGTCAGGAAAGTCCGCCTTGCTCTCCCCCCCCGTTGATTTTTGTCACCCGTTGCCGTCCCCCGAGTATCACGTTCGTTCTGCTCCTCCTCCTCTTCCTCCTCCTCCTCCTCTTCCCCCCCCCTCCTCCTCCTCCTCCTCCTCCTCCTCCTCCTCCTCCTCCTCCTCCTCCTCCTCCTCCTCCTCCTCATTCTTCTCCTCCTCCTCCTCCTTCGCCTCCTCCTCCTCCTCTTTCCCCCCCCTCCTGCTCCAGCACGGCAGAGCGCGACGGGGAGGGCGATCCTCCAAGGCCAGGCAGTACTCGTGCCCAGGAATGACCTCCAGACAGCACGGCCGCGAGCGCCAGAGCTGGAGACGATGTGGGGCCGAAGCACGGGAAGCAAATGCGAGGGGGACGACGAGAGGAGGAGGGCGACGAGGGAGAGGAGGGCGGCGAGGGAGAGGAGGTGAAAAGGATGAGAACGAGGGGGGGAGGAAGCGGAGATTGAGGATGAGAGGAGGAGGAGGAGGAGGAGGAGGAGGAGGAGGAGGAGGAGGAGGAGGAGGAGGAGGAGGCGGAGGTGGAGGAGGAAGAGGCGGAGGATTGTGAAGGTTCGGGGAGAGGCAAACACAGGTCGTGTCAGCACGGTCCTCCCTGCGGTCGGCGCGGCTATATGAACCATCGGCCCTTCTCAACCACCCCAATGCTAATGACAGGCTTCCTTCTGATCACCCCCCCCAGGGGAGGAGGTGGCGCGGGGGGCAGCATCCCTTGGGACCCTCATGCCAGCAGCGCCCAGCAGGGTGCTGCTTCGCATGGACATCCTTTGCGGCAGGCGCGCACCAAGGAGCACCGGGGAGGGCACGAGTGACACCCGCAGGCCTCTCCATGCAGCCAAGCGTCTCGGACCGTGGCGGACCAGCGCCTCCCGGTCCTCGTCGTCCTGCGCCCTCCTGCTCCTGCTCCTCCCGTTCCTCCTCGTCCTCCTCCACCATCCGCAGAACAGGCCCTCGGAGGGCACGGCTGGGGGCGAGAGGCGCCGTGCACAGACGAGACGGAGAGGCAAAGGGAGAGAGGTAGAGAGAGAGAGAGAGAGATGCGCGTCGAGACGCGGCGGGGGCGCCTCCTCGCTGGAGATGGGGAAGGTCTTGCCGTCGAAGTCCTCTGCAAGTGGAGCCACTGCGATACCATACAGTCGGGGCCTTGACCTAAGGAACCCAAAATAAGGAACGAGGCCCCTTTTTCCAATAAGTTAACCTTCGATTTTCTATCGAAAACATAAGGGAAGCTTGAGGCAAGCTGAGAAACACTTAAGGAACGCGGAGCCCCTCCCCAACCAAAAGGGTTCCTTCTTCAGGGCCCCGACTGTACCATATGAAAAACGGAATCAGGAACAGAGAGGCCCTTCTGACGACGGCAAGCCTCGGGCACGAGCAGTGCGCCCGACCAACATCCGAGGAAGGCTCCGAAAACTGAAGCCCCGCCTGACCCCAGATATTGCTCTTGCTTCAGCGTCGTGGCTGTACCTCCTCTAGGCCTCACGTCGTCCGATCTGAAGCGCCCCATTTCTCTCCCACCTCACCAGCACTCCAGTCCACACTCCATCGCAGGACCAGTACCCGTCGGCCGTACGAAGTGAGCAGAAGCATGAAGCAGGAAGGAAAAGGCAGAAGCACCCGAGGACCGAAGCAGAAGGCGGCGAAAGCAGATTGGGATCTGGGGACTCACAAACAGCTGGAGTCAAACCGCATAGGAAGGATGGGCAACCTTCCCAAGGGTACCCTTGCATCCCTGCCTCCTCGGTCCATCCTTGGCCACTCTGGTTGGCCCCGCCCCGCTCGAAACACTCCCAACTGCGCGTCCGAGGCCCCCTGCATCCTTACCGCGCATCCCTACTATACGGGCTGACTGTGCTGCAACGATCCGCGGGCATGACCTCAGTCGACGCCAGCGGCCACACCGAGAGCATGCGAACCACGAAGGAAACAGCCACGCCGCGAGCTTCGGCGGTAGGGGCGCGGCCCGCCGCCTTGAGGAACCTGTCGCCGTAGTAGCCCGAGTCGATCACCTTGATCACCTCCGGCGCTGCTGCGCCACGCTGCTGACGCCCCCTTTCCTGTGCCTCCTCTTTGACTGCCCACCACGACCACCCAAACGTTGAGCCTATGCCCCCCAACGTTGCCCCTGACTCGGGCCTGGAGTGGACGATGCCAGAAGAAGAAAAAGCGGCACAAACATAAACTTTCGGCGCTCCGCGCGGATTTCTTGGCTCTGCGCTGGACACCCTCCCTGGCGCGCTCCGCGCGCCAGGGGCGGCGCCGGAGGCGCCGCCAGGGGGGGGGCCCAGCGCGGATCCAAGAAATTCGCGCGGAGCGCCAAAAGTATAAGTGTATGTCTTTTTTCTCCTTCGATGACCCCCACTCTCCTGTCCTGTGCTTCCTCCTTGACTACCTGCCAGACCACCCCAACCTCACCCGAAGACCCACATTTCGAATTTGAGGGGGGGGACGCGCTCCACGCGTGGTTTTTGGGATGTTCCTGGCCGCCCCCCCCCTCTGGGACAGGAGGGCAGATTGGGGCCTTCGGGTTGGACTGGGGTGTATTGGTGGGTGGTGACCTTCCTCTTCCCGCATCACTTTTCTGCCAACTCCTCTTCGTCCCTCGAGACGAGGCCAGAACAAGGACATATTCGATTGGGAAGAATACAGAATCTCTGAGATCCGGCGGCTCTGGAGGATGTATCGGGCACCGCGGCCTTCTCAGAGCGTTCCGGAACGCTCTGACAGCGTTCTGGAATGCCCT